GGGGGGGGGAATTATAATATGTACTACTGCTAGCAGACTCTCACAAATCACGCCACATAGATAGTATTTGTTTTTCACGCACATAAATTATATATTATACATAGGCGCGCGTACTGGTATGGCTTGTAGGGCTATAGCCGTACCCGAGACTTTTTTTTTAGGTAGGTACTAGGTACTTAAGTAAAAAGGGCTAATAACTTTTTTTGGAAAATCAAGTTTTTTTTATCAATTTTATCAAATTACAAAAAAATAAAAATTGCCGGGACTGACGTTCATTGATAATCAGATTGTACATCAGTTTTTCTAATAAATTTTATTTCTACTTACTTATGTTTTGTATATCTATTTTTTTTTTTTTTTTAAGGCGGGATTTATGAGGGTAGATTATCAAAAAAAAAAATAAAAGTACACCGGTAACAGGAATCTGCGCACGCCTATGATTTATTATTAAATTAAAGTGTTTTAATTACCTTGGTCATTGTTTTTCTTTTTATTGAAAAAGTCCGATATGGACAATTTTTGTCGTTTATTCATGTTTATTTGTTTATTGCTGACGTGACGTGTAGGACTGTAGGAGTGCGGTTGAGGTGTTTACTATTTTCAACAAAATTACAATTTATAAATTACATACGCGAGTACGCGACAAGCTAACATAATACTGATTACTCTTTCGTGGCGTACCTCGTTTCCAAATAAAATATAAATATTATTTAATTTTCCTTGAAAACGATCACCATTTGTTAATCGTCGATAACTAAAACAACGGACGGATTCTCAAAATACGGAATCAATATATTATTATTGTCAATGGTTTACTATAGATCGTTATCGTCGGTACACCCAGGGAAGTTTTCGTAATAGTTATATTTTTAGCAATTTAGCAGTTTATACCACGAATTAATACGCAGTGGAAATACTTGAAACGTGTTACATAAATTATATAACATTATTATATATTTTATTATTGCGTTCCTAATATACATATGTGCTAATAATAACCAGGGCCGGCCCTTGGGTAGGTCAACTGGGACATTTGTCCTAGGCCCCGCGCGAATTTTAGGGCCCCACGCTTAGGTCATGAGAGCTAGGTATATATATATATATAGTTTAATTAAAAAAATATATATCATAGAATTAAAGTTTTATGTTTTTGTAGTATTTATTTGTGATGGGCAACGATATCAATAATTCGATAAAATGTCGATATCGTGACACATTTTCGACACCGATACCATTCTAGTTGTACAATATATTGCAATATCAAATTGAAGAAAATGAATACAGTACACCTACCATACAAGAATATTTTTTAGATTTTGTAACGGTCGATTCTACTACCGGTTTAAATTTGTCAGAAGTTCTGATCACACAACTTAAATTATATAAAATAAACATTGAAAATTGCCGAGGTCAGGCTTATGACAACGGATCGAACATGACAGGAAAATATCAAGGAGTTCAATCCCGAATCTTAAATATAAATCCTCGAGCATTTTTTACTCCATGCGCTGCCCATAATTTAAATTTAGTCCTGTGTGATGCTGCTAAAAATTCAACTATAGCCATTACATTTTCTGGTATAATTCGACGTGTTTATACATTATTTTCGGCATCAACATATCGATGGAGTATCATTAAAAAAATTGTACAGTATTCACGATTAAACAATGGTCAGAAATGAGGTAGGAGAGCCGTATAAATAGCGTAAAAGCTTTACGTTTTCAACTCTCAAATATTTTAAATGCTTTAGAAGAAGTTTCTGAGACAGCTAATGATTTGATGGCCCGAAGTGAGACTGTTTCACTATCAAATGAAATCGGTAATTATAAATTTATATTGAGTCTTGTGATTTGGTATGATATTTTAACAGAAGTAAATATTGCGAGTAAAAGTTTACAAGATCATAATACGGATATAAATACTTCTGTAAAAATTGTTCAAAGTCTTATACAGTTTTTGCATCAATATAGAGAAAATGGGTTTAATTTTGCGAAAATTGCTGCTAAAAAATTAGCCGAAGATGCCGATATTGCAGTTGCTTTCAAAAATCCAAGAGTAAGAAAAAAGACGAAATTATTCGATTATGAAAATGTCGACGAACCTGTGTTAAATAATGAAGATCGGTTTCGTACAAATTATATTTTCATCGTTCTTGACCATGCAATACAGTCGATTGAGAAACGCTTTAATCAGTTGAAGACTTATTCGGACAATTTTGGATTTTTACATCGCATTGGCAAGTTGAAAATAATGGAAAATGATAATATATTAAAACACTGTAAAGATTTACAAATAATTTTAACAGATAATAATTTAAAAGATATAGATGGATTAGATTTATTTTCCGAACTAATTATTTTTCGATCTTTAGTTGACGAAGATACAAATACGCTCCAGGCACTTAATATTTTAAAAACAACTCACGGATCATTTCCTAATCTAACCATTGCTCTTAGAATAATGCTAACTATTCATGTGACATCAGCTTGTGCAGAAAGAAGTTTTTCAAAGCTAAAATTAATAAAGACTTATTTGCGCAATCGGTTAGGCCAAGGCAAACTTTCTGAACTAGCTTTAATATCAATTGAAGAAGAAATATCGTCCACCATCGACTACAAACATCTCATCGACATCTTCGCTTCGAAAAAGTCTAGAAAGAAAATGTTTAGGTAAGTTTTAATATGATAATTTCTATTTTACTTTATTTTAATTGTTAATGATATTATGATAAAAAGAATTAATCATGTATATTATATATTTACTTTCCACGATAAAACAGTGTAAAGAATATTTGATTTTAATTATTAATTATTATATTCCAATAGAATAAAATACCTAATAATAATTTTTTTGTTTTTTATTATTTTTTTTTTTTTTTTTGTTTGTATATGAAGATCGCTGGGTCTCACTGAGAAGTCTCGTATGAAGACAAAAAAAAAAAATAAAAAATATATGAACTAGACTGAAATGCATACTAAATATATCTGGGTAGAAAGAAAAATAATAATAATATATATAATGAAAACATGGAAAAAGTATATCAAATATATGTACATATTTTAAAAAAAAAAAAAACATTGAAAATTATTTTGTCCGGGGCCCCGCAAAAACTAGGGCCGGCCCTGATAATAACGAATAGATTACGAACTAATACCAAAAATTAAATAAAATATTAATCGTTTCCAATTTTTTTTCATATTTATTTAATTTTTTTAAGAAACAAATTCATATTCATATAATTGTTGAAGGACGCTGCGTCCCCTGCGTTCCTTGATGAATTAAATTAAGGGGTACGCTATAATATGAAGAAAAATGAAGAGTAGCTCAGACCCTCTGCGCCCCCCCCCCCAATTCAACCACTGGTTATGGTTATATCACTTCCTAGAAAAAAAAAAAGATACGCCACTGTCTGTAATATAGAATCTATATTACAGACAGTGGCGTATATTATAGATGTAATGTATATTCGAGTATTCGAATTTCGGTATTCGATGCTATAATACCTATTATTGTTAAACGTTTTGTGTTGCGTGAAAACATAAACGAATAATTTTCACGTATTGTATTTTAGCATCGAATACTGATATTCGAATGGTCGCCATGGACGCGTGGTTATCACATAGCAGTCCCCATCGTCGAAAGCGTATATCGAAATAGTGCATTACCGCCATAATCGCGGTAATGTTAACCTGTGTATATGTAATTAGTATTGTGCATTATTTTATATTTCATATTGTATTATCGATTTACCTATGTTCCTATAATAATGTAATATATGATACGGCTCAAGGGGGTTGTCATATCCACCAAACACCCACCTTGTATACGCCACTGGCAGGGCTTACAGATTACGATAATAATATTTTGTTACGTCACGTTTTTTGCAACGCTTATATCCAGGGCCGGCTGAAGGTTTTTTGCCACCCTAGGCAAATCTAATTTACGCTGCCCTATGCAATAGTTAATTTTTTGGTGAGGAAGGGGTTGAATAAAATAAGGACATTCATTTTTATTTATGAACCATTGTTTATTTAAACAAAATAAAATGTTTTGACTGACTTAAGTTTTCTTTACAAAATATAAAATAATAATAATAAAATTAAAATGAATGTTGGGTATGAAATAAATTAATAAAAATATTTATTTAATTTAACATTAAAAAATATTTAACTAAAAAATTAAAAATATATTAAATAAAATTAATTTTGTGAGCCTTTTCTTGGGCAAAATCAATCAGTAAACTTTTAAATTCCAGATTTTCCATTACTTATTTTTCAATAGAAATTGTAGCAAGATCACTTAACCTTTCTTGATTCATAGAAGGCCTTAAATAGTTTTCAATTATTTTTAATTTTGAAAAGCTCTGTTCAACAGATGCGACCGACACAGGCATAGTTAAAATAATTCGAAGTGCTACAGCTACATTTGGTACAAAATTGTTATTATTTACAATAAACTGTAACGCTTCTAATGGAGTACTGTTGGGTTTTAATAACTCGGATGTTGCTACTAACTCATCTGTCATTTCTATGGCATCAATATCTGAATTACTAACATTTTCATTTTCTGAGAGTAGCAATTGAAGATCCATACAATTTTTCACAATGTTATCTTTCGTTATACTTTTTAGACTACTTATATCATACAAAAATTTAAAGTTATCGCAGTGGTTATGTAATTGTTCAAATCTTTCTTCGAGAGAATTGAGAGCTACGTCTAATATATAAAAGTATAATTCAACTTTAAATTTAGTTTTTAAATTAATTATGGGTTCATCTGGTTGTTCATAAGAAAAGAACACGGTTTTCGTGGGCGTATAGAAGTTTGTTGCGTAAAAGAAGCCTCAATATCCAATTCAAGAGCTACGGTTTCAGCATCTTTTAAAAATTTATCAAAACTCTCATCACATCAAATTTTTTTTAAAAAATTAATAATGTTCTGATAAAACACTATCAAATTTTGTCAGAAGCTGTACTAGTCCGAGAAAATTGCTATTATTGTTTTCGTAAAGAACATCGTTTGTACCTCGAAGAGGTGAACATTGTTTATCAAGAAATTCAATGATTGCCATTAAACGCTCAAATATATTTTGCCAATGCCGAGTTTCATTATTTAATACACGTTGATGGGCAGCATCTATGGTTTGATTGCTATTTAATCTAGCAGACAGTTCCATCCATTTTTTTAAAGAATTAAAATGTATTTTGTTTGTTTCATGTTCTTTAACTATATTGTGTACGTTTTTCCAATCATTACAGTTAAATTTAGTCAATGCATAATTTTCACTACTAAATAATATTTTACAACAAAAACGGTACACAACATCATTTTTAATAAAATAAATTAACTACGTATGTTCTATAACTTCACCATTTTTTAATGTTTTACTTAAAATTGAAATTGGAAACCGTCGATTTAACGCATCTCTAGGATATTTGAAATCTTTATTTGGTTTAGTGGGACCTGTTTTTACTAATTGAAGTCGTAATGAATCTGAAAAAATCGCTGGCCATGTCCCGGGGTCAGATATGTTATTTTCATTCTCATTATATTTAATACTCGTATTTTCTTCCTAAGTTATGTTTATTTCATTGTCAGTAACTTCTAAGGTATTTGATTCTTTCAAAGTTGTGTTTATTTCATTGTCAGTAACTTCTAAGGTATTTGATTCTTCTAAAATAATTTTAGAATGTGTTTCTGGATTATTTAAAAGTTCATTATTTTTTTTCAAATATTTTTCAAAGGAACCAGAGTTTTTTTTAATTTCTTCATCACGTTTTAATTTTTGTTTTCGTTATGCAGCTCCTGATAACCGTATACGTTTTTGCTCTGACATATTCAATAAATATTAACGTGATAATTTAACAAAATTAATACCAATTAAGTGTTGCAGTTAAAAACGTATTATAATAAAAATTGTACACGTTCATACACTTGATACACTATCACTATCACTCCACAGTCTACAGCAAAAATTATTTACGTGTTAAGGTACGGTTTCCAAGCTGCGGCTGGAAAGGTACCTTGGCGGGCGGCTAAAAGTCCGGGACTAATTGTGTCATTGACCATTATTTTCCAATTACATAATTATTCTGAACTCGATAAGAACGTGTATTCATCTGTGGTCGACTAATGCATGTACCACTGTTATCGCCGTTTTATTTATATTCATGCAGTATTATGACTGGTGCGTTCTCGGTAAACTTGTTTAGTATATTTTGAACAATGAACATTTACAATTCAACATACTATATATATTATTATTTTGGTTCATTTGAAATTTTCCGCCTCCTCCCCCACTAGTGCCGCTCTAGGCGGCTGCCTATTTTGCTACCACATTGAGCCGGCCCTCCTTATATCTACTGATTGATAAGATTATATCGGTTTGTATAACACGAGGATCAATGTCCACTACGTCGTGTTGTTATTCGAGATCGTGTTTTTTGCGGTTTGATCGTAGGACATCGGGAAGTGGGGAGCGGTGATACCCGATTGAGCACGGTCGTTATCGGCCGACTTGACGACTCGATTGAGCACGGTAAAAAAAATATTGTGTATAACGTTGTCAGATTGAAAACTATAAGACTGGCAACACACAATCGCTATTTTACCGCACGACATTTTTACCGCGCCGTAATTTTACTGTGCGTTTTGTTAAAGTACATTAAAATGAATAGAGCACAACACACGAGTGTCGCGCAGTAAAATTATGGCGCGATATTTCGAAAACTGTCGCGTGTACCTTGACTTTAACGTGCATTAAAAATACCGCTATAAAGGCTTATCGTGAGTACTCTAAATTTAAAAATACTGACAACCTACTCAAATACTTATTGAAAGTTGAAAATAAATATTTAAAGAATAAAATTTAAATTTTTACCTTTTTTATGACAATCGTAAGTGCTATTATTTAACAAAAAAAAAAAAAAAAAATGTTATAACATGTGATTAAAACCTAATAAAATATTTTTAATTATAAATAATTATACTCAAATGTATTTTATTTTGTAATAATAATATGGGCACACTGAGCTCTATACACCAACAACAAAAAAAATGCGAAAAAAAGTGTCTTGTCGTTTTTTTATTGAAGAGTTATTTCTTTTAGGAAACCTGAGCCATAAATATTTTAAATTATGAAATAATCGTTACAAATCTAAAATTGAATTACATAATTATTATAAAAAAAATCTTGAATGCACAGTAATACGGTGCACCAAATAATATTCTACGCAACAAAGCGGCAACGTCGCACCCATTTTCGTGCTCAATCGTGTGGTTTTTGGGTTATTTTTTGGTTCCTATTGTTTGATTGCAACCGTGCTCAATCGGGTTACGAAAAAGATAAATCGTGCTCAATCGGGTTCCAGCCGCGGGAAGTACTTGTGTTGCTTTGCAACCGGACACCTTCTATGGTTTTTTGTACGCATCGAGCAGACCATAGGCGGACCCAGAGTTTTACATTTGAGTGCGCCCTGTCATTTTTTGGTTATTTTTCAAAATATAAATGGGAAGCTATAAACACGTACATGTAGACCGTGTTGTGTTTTAAATTATAAAAATAAAGGCTTCTTTAATGATGTAAAATAATGATTGGTAAAAAATACACGTAATTATTATTTCAGACTTATTCTGAACACTTGCAGTATTACTTACAAAAAACTAAAATTTAA